AGCTGCCAATTAATCAACCTGCTTAAACAAATAAATGAACTTCAACTTCAGTTCCAGTTCATGCTGTTTTGGCGGGAAACTAAGAACTATTACCCAGTCTTCCTTGGCGTTGCGTTCCAATTTTTTTTGTTTGCGTTGCATATTTTATTTGCTGCCGTATTTTTTGTTTGCAATGCATTTTTTTATTTGCTGCGGTACTTTTTTTCTTTGCGTTTTGATTTTTTTTATTTGCTGCAGTATATTTTTATTTGCTGCAGTATATGTTTCATTTGCTGCAGTATATTTTTTGTTTGCGTTGAGCCTTCTGGGCCACCGTATTATATGATATTATATGAGAAATCGTGAATAAATGTCACACCAAAATCTTGAAATCTGTAACATGCACATTTTCGTAGTTCCATCAGTCGGGGTACACGTTCCTGGGTGACCTGTGAACTCTTTCAATGTAGGCCTGGTCACACAGTTGTGCTTCGAGAGTTACTCACGAAAACCCACGTCAATAGATCGGTCGTTCCATTGATCGATGAATGAGGAAAGTTTGTTAGTTCTTTTCCTAAGATGGTTGAGTTAAACGATCCTAAATCTCACGAAAAATTTTCAGTAGATGTAAAACTTCTGCTTGTACCAGGAGTTCTCTTAGTCCTTTTAGTTGGTAAGTTATAATTATAATTTTACAGTTCCCTGTGTTAGCTTTTATCAGCTTTTATTAATCTTACAATCGCCATCGATCCATGCTCTGTTCATTTATCCTCGATAGAACTTACCGCAGTAAATTCCTTTTCTTAACTGTTCTCTTTAAGTTTATTTCTATTTTGAAAACATACAACAACTTTTGAAATACTTATCTATAACTACATAATAATCTTGTTAATACTCGTGTCCCGACACAGTAAGATGTTGGGAGTCTATGAAATGAAAGAGGATCATGTCTTGTGATGTTAGGATGTCTTTCGATCGCGCAGTTCAATTGTAAAAAAAAATTAAATTGTTTCCAGTGCAGGAACAAACATGTATTTGTTCCCATAAAATTGTTTTTGTCAATAGTCTTAAACATAATTGAATACCACAATAGCTTTGCTAATGATGTGAGATTTTCCCTCTATCTTAGGAGTAAAAACTCTGGTAATAAGTGTTACCTTTCAAACCCTTTAATTCCCTAGATTATATCTCAAATTCACCCTAGTAGCTGCCATCTGTTACTTCCTTGTAAATTAGGGAAGAGAATTTTCTGTCTGATCAGGAAACAAATGCCTACTGGTTGCCCAGTTTGTCTATTGTTTTGGGTCAGGAAATGCATTGATTTTTATGGAAAATTTACATGTTTATCATTACTGTGAGTTCAGAAATTACTGTGGCCTGATCCTGTTCAATTCTCTGCCAGCCAGTCTTTAACTCTGTTTGCCCTAAATAAGGCAACCAGCTAGATAGCTTGTTTTTTTGAGGATTCATCATGGAGTGAAAAAAGGTCATTCTCACCTAAACAAGCTTCACATCTAATCTATGGCATAATTTTACTCTTTCAGTCCACCATTATTGGCAAAACTATCAATAAGGATTCTGTGCGAAAAGTCAAAGCAAATTTGATGACACAGAAAGATAATTTCACATTCCGAGAGGTTGATTTAGTTCCAAATGTGATATGAAACCCTTTAATAAGAACAGAGACCCTATCATTTTTATCTTTAATTTGAATCCACTGTTTAATATTTCTACTTCGAAAATGAATACTCAAATTTTTGTTTTTAGAGTGAAACATACAACATGTAACAGACAATCTGCCATTATTTTATCTAAGTTTCTAACTACTGCAACTGGCCATGATAATGTCAATGTACATAATTTGTTGTTCCTTAAGACTTTTTGTAGGTTTTTAAGACAGTTCAATACTTACTTATTTTATGGGTTACATATATGTTGTAGTCTTTAAGGTAAACAGGTAGAAACCCTAAAAGAAGGTATACATGTCATCTTTCCTACAAACGAACTCTGGGACCCTTCTGTTTATTTCATTAAATTACTTGTGGGCAAACAACATCAGTGATCTCCTTTTCAGACATAACTTGAAAATTTACTGCGTGAAGTACCTATATTCTCCCCCTAAAACCACTTGGAATTCTTGAAATTCAACAGGTAAAGGATTCCTCTACCAGTTTCAAAATTTCTTTTACCTGCCACATTTAAAACAAGGGAAAACACTGAACAAGAAAAATTTCAAAGAAAATCTACATTGTGGGATTTTTTTCCAATGGAATTAAGCAACTAATTAAAACCAATAAATCCTCATGGCATTTTGAGTTTTCTAACATACTAAGTCAGTGATATGTGGTTAATTTCAGTGTTATTTATTTACCGGATTTTAAAGGCAAACCATGACAGGGAAAAAGCCAAGCAAGAAAAGAAAAAAATGAAACAAGAGAAGAAGAAACAATAACAGAAGGCCTGGATATTAGGATAACAAATTATATCTTTGGTAAAAGCTTTACAATCAAGTCTGGAATTTTCATCTTTCTACAACGATTTGGATTTTGGTGACTTACATCTCCTCTTGAATACTGTGGCTATGTGTCATGTGATCTCTACTGGCTGTAAGACTTCGATAACTACTGTAAAGGAAATAGATTTCACCTTTGGAAATGGAAATTGCAGTAATTTTGAGTTAGCTAGAACTCCAAATAAGCCAAGTTTACAGTGAGGAAGATCTATTGTACAATTAGTTTTCAGAGAACTCAAACAGAAAAATTTATATCAATATCTTTATTGTGCTGTACACCAAATGATTTATTTCAACAAATCACAAAGTAAAATATCTCCATTGACAATCTAAACAACATTCTTCCATATCAGTAAAAACTCTCTAACAAGCTAACACTATGCAAATTAAAACTGAAATAATGGCATAGTCATAAAAAGAAAGAAATAAATTATTTGAGTTAAAATTGTAGTACTATAATGTGAAAACTCTACATTGTTAACATCCTTTTAATTGGCTTCTTGCAGCTAGGGATCATTTCTAATTCTGCCCATAAATGATTGATAATGTTGATCCACAAAAAAAAAAAACTTCATCCTTCAAAATTTTACATTACCAAAGCTGAAGATGATCAACAATGCAATCATAAGAGAACTGATGACCTTACAACCCTTTAGCATGTTGTTAAGGACCAACATAAGCCTATAACCTAATTGCTTCTGTTCTGACTAAGCAATAAAAAAATAGTTCCATCTGATAACTTGGTATCACAAAAGAGAGAATTTACGACAGCTTCCTAAATTCTTCTTTAAAATTTAGTGGTATTAAAAAATATGGGCTAACCCATCTGGCTAAGAAGATATTCTCTTGACCCATTGGTTAGTATTTTTTGCTACAGCTGAACTTTCTAATTGTCAGTCACGAAAATTTAGGGTTAAATACAGGTGATTGTGTTTTCAAATTCTCACCAAATGACTGCTGAGAGTAAAGGAGCTAAGGGTGATGTAGAGATGACATAAGTTTGTCAACTAATCAAACTTTTGAAAAAAATTAATGATTCCTGGTGAACTGAGATTTTTATACAAGGAACAGGATAAGAAAAATTGCCATTAAGTATGGAGGAAGATTTTTTGAATCATTGACAAGATGTGTTTCATGTGCCCTTTTCAGTGACTTCATGGCCCTTAAGGTGGCCTGCTCAAAAATCCCAATAGAAGCTCTTGAAGCAAACTGACTTGGATCTTCTCTGTTGTGGTGCTCCTGAGGTGCCATTGAAAATCTAGTGTTACTTGAGATTTACAGTGGTAATGATTTCTAATTTCCAAGAAATATTTAGCACAATTATTGTTGACAAAAATAAATATTACTAATTGGTATAATTGCTCAGGTGAATGTAGAGATGCTCAAGCTCTGATTGGTCAAGGATCACATCATATCTCAGGTGTGCTAAATTTGAAAGTGGCTGCCTTGCATTTTGACAATGCTTCATTTTGAAGGGAAAGATTGGTTCAAAATCCTGTTCAAAATCATTTTCTTGAGTTGATCTCAAAATTGAACAATATTTTACAGTACCAACACAACGTTGTGGGGAAAATCAAATACATTGCAAATATTTCATGATACACCACAACCTGCATTCTAAAGTTGTTCTGCTAATTTCTGACCATGCCAATAGCAGCTCTACTTTTAGTCTTAGTTAAAATATCAAGGCTTGATTGGTTATTTAGCCTTTTTAGCTCTGACAGTATCATGAAGTGTTTTTATGTCTGACAGGCTTTCAAACAAAAGTTTGACAAATCGGTCTGAGTTTGACTCTTTAGAGGATATCTTAGAGGAAATGTGAAAGAAAATCCTGTGATCATCAGGAACCATGTAGGAAACACCATAACCATCATCAGCAACTGGACCAAAACCACCTCCTGGGGAAATCTGTGGACACAACATATTATATAAAGTTGAAATGGTAAATTGGCCACCGTAACGATTACAAAAGCTGACGTTTCAAGCGTTAGCCCTTCATAGGAGCGAATTTCACTCCGATGAAGGGCTAACACTTGAAACATCAGCTTTTGTAATCACTACGGTGGCCAATTTACTATTTCAACTTTGTAGATATATCCAAATTATTTTGTTACCTCCACCGATGCAGCCCCAAACAGTTTCTTTAGAAACTATCAGCCTTTACAACATATTATACATTGAGATTCTCTTCATTTTGAGTTGAAGTTCATACTATTTTCTACTCCTTTTTCTCACTGCCAAGTCTTTATTTTTTAGTGAAAATATAAGCACATTTTTTCTTGCCTATGAAACAGACTGAGTTGAAAGGAGTGTTTACTTGTATTCTAAAACTGGTTTCCTGAAAAAATGTGCAATTTTCTATTGAGAGCTAAGTGGTCAGCTAATGCAGAGTCAGAGGCCACTCAGTCTGGATCTTCGAGGTTATGAAGTTCTAATAACATCTTACTCTTACTTCCACTAACATGAGTAATGTAATGCATGAGTGTACAATCTTACCAAATGTGTAAGTTCTGGCTCTGTGACACTAAAGTGGGTACCCGCCATTTGTTGTTGAGGCTGCTGGCTGGTAGACAGTGTCCATGGAAGGGTTAATGCACTCTTCAAGAACTCACTCTCCTAGGAATACATTTAATAGCTGTTAACATTGTGTGACTAGTTCCATAACATTCCAAAGAAAATTGACCTATGCTCTACTCCTGACAAGACAATCTCTCTGACACGTACATAAAAAAAATAATTAAGGGAAGTGTTAGAGGTAGATGCTAATTACTGTGTCCTGGAAAAAACTGTTAAGACTTTGATTTGATTCTGACAAGTAAAATTGTGTATACTGACCAAACACAAGAACACCTTAAAACCACAAAATAGCTACTATTGTTGTTTGCAGTTTGCTTTTCTAACATTTGATTTGTTTGCTTCTTGGAGTACAACTCAATTCCATAAATAATTCTGCTCTTGATTTTCTGAGTTTTAAAATGAAACTGAACTGAAACAATGACAGTCCAGGTTCTTGATATGCAACCTACATTCTTTCAGATTTATCCCTTGAGAACACAACCCAAGAACTCTGATGTAATAATAATAATAATAATAATAAACATATTCCTGTACTTACATAGCCTTGACCTCTGCACACAACAAAGAGTGCAAAAAGATGTCTATCAATGCCTTTTCCATTCATACAGTCCTTATACTGCTTGGCATGAAGATCTGCAGCTTTGTGAAGTAATTTATATTTTTCTTCAGGAGGGACTGTGTCATCTAACATGGCAAGAACAAAATCTTTAGCTTCAATTGTTAAACTGCGCACAGTTTCTGTCCTTCCTTGGAGGTAGAGGCGTGTCATGGAGGACTCGTATGTGAGTGGATGTCTTCCATTTGAATCTCTGTAATAGGCAAGTTGTAAAGCCAACTGGATAAATGCATCAGGACTTATCTGCAAAAATTAAGGATTAAAAAAGAAAAGGTAAAACTCTATAAATTGATTCCTCTTCAATTTGACTCAGAGCTCTCGCATAAGTCAGAGTCAAGGCTGGGAAAAAACTTTTACTGGTACTTCAGACAAAATAATTATTTCCAGTTAAGCCTTTAAATAATAATAATATAATAATAAAGGTCTTTATTAAGAATTATTGTGCATACAGACGTGCAGCAATTAACATGCATTGAATAGAATGAATAAGGAAAAGGAAAAGGTATTAATTACTATTGAAAAGACATCTATTAATAAAAACTGATTTTCCACAAGAGACCAAGAAAAAATTTCTTCTCAACAACACCAATACAAAATCAAGCAGCCAAGTGATGAGAATACAGGAAAATTTCATTGAAGGGATTATTAGGCAATCCAATACCAAATTCTCCAAACTGACACTGTATGAATCTTTAGACAGAAAGTGATGAGAATTACTAACAAGATCTAAATACCACAGGGGTTTGGCACTAAACCTTCAGAGTTTCTTAAGTCGACCTTTGCCATATGTGAAAAAAGCTTGGTCCACTTAACAATTATTCTTTGAAATCGAGGTGAAAAGTGGCTAAATATTTACCAAGCTGCGAAGCTGCTCGGTAAACATTCCCAAAATAATTGTTTTAGTATATATACACACGAAGTGATCTCAACAAAATGAAAAGGAAGCCATTTAAAGGCAATTTCTGCTTCTGAAACTTTAGCGAAATGCAAGTTTACGCCCACTATTTTGTTTTTCACATTATCCACTCGCTCGGAGGTGTACATTGTTGATTAGCCCAAGATAGCGAACCAATCAGATTTCTTGAAACGCCAAGATCACTGAGTGTGTATATACTAATTATCTATACCTCATGCATGAACGCTACACTAACAGGTTTACCTTTACACTCTTGATGAAGCCTTTTCCAAATGCATCATGAACTATGACTTTATGCTGAATGTCTTCATTATTCTGGAAAACAATGAAGTACTTATAATAGAAAATAACAAAAAACCTCTGGTTTACACTTTTCAGTGAACACTTATGCTTAACTCAATTTTTAAAGTTGAGGGAAAGGAGAGATATGAAGAGCTATTATCAGGAGTGAAAGCTTATGGTGGATTAATCTTTTTACACCCACAAGTGATTAACATGTAACTTCTCCTTATGATATCCATAAAAAAAAAATTTAAAAAAAACCGACCCCCGGTTAGCTCAATTGGTTAGAGCGCCAGAGTGTGTTATGCGGGAGGTAGAGGATTCGAGCCCTGGCCAGACCAATACTCATGGTCTTAAAATAACTGAGGAGAATTTGCTACCTTTCTATAATATCAAGAAATGGATATATTCTAGTCTTCTCGGATAAGGACAAATAATGAACTGTAGGCCCCATCTCATGCAGGGTTAGGGGTAGGAGACGTTAATTTCCCACACACAAGATTACTGTGTGGTGGATGTCCTCCCCTGGGGTGGGTGTTCACAGGGCTCCATTTAAACTAGCTATCTGCTAAACTGGGCTACCCTGTAAAAAATAATGTTCGTAAATACAATACATACATACATCTAACACCATGTTCTCATAACTAATTTACAAGTAAATGTGTAGCAGCTAGAGGGGATAATTAACAATCACATCTTGAGAGTTAAAAAGTTAAGGATGCGTCATAAGGAAGGGTTCCTTTATAAACAAAAGTGTTAAGGAAATCCTGGAGAGATTCAAGGGTCTTTGTTAAGGACAAATAAGTTTTCTGTCCTCCTTAATTGGCAATTTTTATTTAATAATAAAATTACTGTCAAACGCAAGGCAAAACTCATACCTTTTGTGCAAACTTGACAGCATCTTCAATGATGTGTGCAAGTTTAGGAGTTATATCCCAGTATAACCTGGAAGGCTTTTGAAGGTTGTGTGTCCTCAGGCTAGCACTTCTGTGAGCACCACCAATAGGAGTGCATTTACCCTTGTCATTGTATGTTCTATAAATGTACCTGTTACAAGGGCCAAATAGTCAACAAAACACAGTCATTCCCTTCCTCTTTAAGCTTGATTTATAACTATCACATGATACCGCTACAGAGTGCTAAATTTGTTTTACCGAACCAGCACCTATAACTGATATGGATCTCTTCAGTTTGATGCTTTCTCTCTAGTTGATTGGTAACTGGGCAATTATAAAACAAAAAGAATAACTTGTCACAAAATATGACAGAGATCAATACAGAAAGCAAAGAGATCTAAAGAATTCTTCTTGAGTATGTAAAAGGGATTTTTTAGTAGAAAAAAGATACACTTTATTTTTTCATCTCATTTTTAATCTTGTTTCATACAGCTCATGCCTCTTTTCCATTGCAAAAACCATTTTGACACACAGTTTGGTATTTCAGAACTGCTGACCAAGTAAATTTGATGCTTATCTTTGAAAGAAAAATGCATTTTAACAGCTAGTGAAGCACTGATCAAACCTACTCAAAGGTAAGGGCATACTCCAACATGTGCCCAATGACAGGTGCATCAGCCCAGGCATGTTCAGCATTGATTCCACATCTACCATCTGAAAACACCATCAGACAGAAACTTTTATCAAACCAAAAGCTTCGCCCATCACCATGCAGTAGATACTTAGCGCGTTCACTCAAATCAGTGAAGGAATTCTCATCCAGAATTACCTGCAATGTAAAGACACCAAAGTGGTGATGAAAGCTGCAGCTATATAAGCCTGCATGTATCTTACTTACTGCAAAGACTAATAACTGATATTTAATACTAGTAACAATACACTGTTAAGCTAAGTGATGAGAAAAAAAGAAAATATGAACAGGCAACACAATTCAATTTATTTTTTTAAGACCCATATTAGTGACCAGCATCTATTTTCTTCTTACAGTAAAACTGATGAATCATTCATTAACACTTGAACTCTCAAGATCTGATTATGAATTCTTCCCTCTAGGTACTGTTATGATATATAAAACCTTCAGGAAATCAACATTTGCTTTTCTTCGACGAGACCGTTCTTGAATGTCGATCAGCTGATCTTTCTTATGTAACACTTAAAGGTTATGTAACTCTCGAATGTTATGCAACCTTCTGGACTGGTTATGTAATCGCTTGGTACATTCCAATCTAGTTCTCGAGTTACACGAGTGAACATTGAGATAAGTTAGTCGTCATGTTGTTGTTATATCGATAGCTCTAAAGGTAACCTGCCTCTCCAGTAATTAAAGTTTGTGTTCAAAGAAGCTTACTGGACTCAGACTCCCTATCTTGCTCTCTCGCGTCATAAAGGACAAAACTATCTGACCGGTAGTATTTAC